CCCTAGAAACTATGAAACTATGAATTTTCTTTTATGTGTATATACTGCAATCAGGTAAATGTGTTTAGAATTAAATCCTACAAATGAAAAAAGAGGGAAAATTATTAATTTTGGGGATTAATTTTTTTTTTAATGTAGGGGTGTCTCACATGCAGCCAGCTAAGGAAGTTTCAGGAAGAGCACACACCAACTGCCGAAACTTCCTTAGCCTGACAAAGGGTTTTTGAACCCGAAAGCTTGCTTAAAAATTGTTCTCCAACTATTTAGTTGGTCTAATAAAAGATATCAGATTCACCCAAAGAACTTTGTCTGCCTGTGTGCACTTGTTAACTTTGTTGCACAATTAATCGATAAATTTGTGCCTTTTAGTATTTTTTGAATAGTTCTCTTTAACCTAAGAGCTAATTTTCATATTTTAAAATATTTTTTGGCCCCAGACTTGAAAGAACTTAGGCATATGCCTAATGTGACCATTGGTTCAGTGGAAAAACATATGTTTGTAAATTAAATATGTCCAGGTTTTTCTAGGACCAGGTCTTGGATGGGAACACTGTTAAGGTAGGTACGCTCTGGGTCTTGACTTTTTCATGTAGTCTGATCAGGAATTTTGCTTCATAGAGTAATGAAAGTTTTAGGACCCATTTCTAGAGCCCTTACCCAAATAATCCCAGGTAAATCAGTAAGACTATGCATGGTGACTAAGAGCCTCAGGTTCTGGCTTTTTATTGTTAGCATGCCCTTTGTGTATGTGTCTGTACATACAGATGAACAGAGGTAGTCTTGAAAAAAAATTACTCACAGTTTGTACACGGGTGCCATCTGGCATGGCACAATTATATTCTGGAAGTCACAGATCCTGTGGAAGATAAGCATACTAATCAACTGTTGTGGGTAAATGTTAGTTAATGCTGACTGTAAACCTCTCCATATACACCTGTTAGCAAAGATGCATATGTATAGAGAGGTAGCTAGCTGTGCTAGTTTGAAACCAGGCAGGAGGCAGGTAGAGATGCACCTTATAGACTAACTCAGGGGTGCTCAACCTGCAGTCCCAGCCCAGATCTGACCCTCAGAGACATGTCACCTGGTCCACAGGGCCCTCCACAAGTCCAATTTGGTGGCAAGGGAGCAGTGACAATTAGCACTCCCTGCTTATCTGCTGCCAAATTTCTAAGCTCTGCACAGCTGGATCAGCCCCAGCTAGGCTGGCCCTGCACAGGGAGATCAGGCGCAGCCGTGAAGGCACACAGACTAACTTGGCACTGCTCATCCAGCCTGTGGAGTCAAAAGGTTGGGCACCACTGAACTAACCAAATCACAGATGCATAGGCTTTTTGGGGTAAATGTGTACTTTATCAGGCCCTTTGAAAGGGCATGCACAGAGCGAACTATCAACGGGTGATTTGAATACAAAGGACAAGGAAGTGTATGTTATGGTGACACCCAAAAGCCCCAGTTGTGACTGGGGCTCCGTTGTGTTTTGCATGAGATGATTTTCCCAGCTGAATGATTCCATGATATTGCAGTATTTCTTTAGTAAATTGATGCTTCAGAATCTGGATAAATGGAATAAAAATATCTTATTATTCTGACCAAGAATGACAAGTGCAGAGATTGATTACTTTTCTCTGTTTTACCACTCCGTAGATTCTCCAGAGAAGTAAGTTCCAAGCAGTGACAGAAGTAAGATCCAAGCAATGCCCTAGGGCCAGAACCAAGACAATAACAAAACACAACCAAGCCATTTCCAGTACTTTTCTAGGTGATGCCTCCTCCAGTTCCCTCTATGTGACTCCCCCACCCACTGGGGTACATTCTCCATATGAGGTTGAAGGATCTATGGGTCCCTGATGTTTCTCTGCATCTCTCTGATTGTATGTTTGGAGCAGAAGTGTAGATCTGCAGACATAAACTGCTGTAAGAGAGAAATTCCAGGGGTAATTTATGGGAATCATTATGTTCTGATGTCATTGGATCTGGGGCTGTGCAGATGTTTTTAGACCTCCCATTTACCGACTTCTACTCAGTCATCTCCCCTTCTCCCCCAACCTGTCAATCACTCATCCCCAGAAAACATTTTACATCAGGGCACTTGAGGCTGCAAAAATGCCATCCATTCTTGGGTAGGGAGGTTTCTCTTAAAAACTATTTTTGTTGCTGCAGTTTGGCCTTTCTGCAGGACAGGGGAAACTTTTGTAAAAGCTACTTGCTCTGCAGAGCTTCATGCAGGACTGTTGCCTGTGTGGCATTTTTGGGGCCACATGGCATCAAAGCCCTGGTTCAGAAGGTTAGGGTGGAGGATTGGAGGCTCCACGCTCTTCTAGCTCAGCTCTCTGGTGTTAAGCACTACCATGTCTCATTAGTACAGTTTGCTAAACAGACACTTAGAACTCTGTTATATTTCCTTGCTTAGATTTTTTTTAGGATCCTTTCCTTACTTCATCTTCACTACTTTTTCTTTATTCCAGGGTATTACTGCCACAGCTGCACTACCAGAGAGTGGTTCATCACTGGCCTTGCGAGCCCTGGGGTGGGGTTCTTTGTATGCCTGTTGTGGAGTGGGATTGATCAGCTTTGCTATCTGGAAGGCTTTGGGAGTCCACAGCGTGAGTATCAAGTATCATTGCTTTATGAATTACCATACGTTTGGTGTGAAATTCATCTTCCACCCAACTTCAGTCCTGCAGTGTCTCTTTGCAAGGGAGGGCAGCCAGATAGAGTGCATCTATATACCACAAAGGATGCTTCATACCAGCCACAAAGAGACTATTGGAGAAAGCACTGTGTGTGAGTGTTCTGGGGGAGGGACTCTTGGTACCAGTCTCAGTTCCTTCACATAAGGGCTACCATTCCAGCCCACAGACCAAAATGGAAACCACAGACTTTGTGTGCTGAGAACAGTGAACACCAAACTGTCATTTGCTTAACTCTTTCAACAAAGTCTGACTTTTGTGTTCAGTGTCAGTCTGCCTGTTTTCAGTGCCTTTGAGACTTGCAGCATCCAAGCATCTAATTTTTGCATTAGTATTTCCTGGTCTTATTAGCCCAAAGATATTTAAAAAAAAAAAAAAAAAAAA